AGAGAAGGAGAATCTTAGAGTTACTCTGTGGTCATTAGGAGTTTAAATTAATGTACAAATAATAAGTCTTTCAGGGATCATACAAATTCTATTTTATTTATCTTTTCATATCTTCTAAAATTACCCTTTGATTGTAAGCTTTTTAAAATGGATATAATATACGATAATTTTTATACAACATGAGATCATTTAAAAATCTTTGTATTTACAGATTGGTGTCATTTGCACCATCAGTAGTGAGATGATATCATCTATAGCTCAGACTCAGTGAAAGAATCTCAAATTAAATGTGTGTATACAATGGCCCATAGATGCTTAGATGGGTGTATTTATATGTGTAGATATGTGTATGTAAACATGTATACATAAGTATATATGAATATCTATCTTTATCAATATCTTGATATCTATATCTGTATTTGTAACTACAGCTCCTCCCTAAAAAATAACTGCAGACTTTATCATATTGAAAATGTGTACAATAAAATGACATAATGTATTATCATCATTGCAACTCAATAGTATTTCAAAATAAATAATAATTTCTTCTCTTTAGGAAAAATTGGGTACCATGAATAGTAAGATAAATTAATCAACCATGAGCTGTTTCCTCAGTATCAAATTAGCAGTAGTTTATTTTCATTTTTATTCCACAGTTGAGTGAGTCTTCATCAAATGAACATGACTCCATATGCTAATTTTCTCAGAATCAAATTCTTTGCACACTTAAAGCCATTATGTTTCACTTGGGAAACAAACTGACGGAATTAAGTGCAAGGAAATGCTAGTGGGGAAACAAGGAATAAGGGGAGAACATTCTGAAGATGGAGAATATGAGTGAAGGGGTGAAATTGTCCATTCTAGGAGCCAGGCAGGATGGTGTGGTGACACAGAGTGACCAGCAGAATTTTTAGTCCATTAATTTTTCAGGACTGACAAACCATATTTGGAAACATAAAAGACAGAGTCTAACAAGAATGTGCTTGGAGAATACTGACCTTAACAGAGTCAGGTTTGTCCTTGYGATATTGTAGAAATTGGAAGTCACAGGGGGCCATTTCCTAAGACACAAAGCAGAATCATTTCAAATGAGATTAAAAAATAATAAAAAAAGGTGTTCCTATCAAGGTGATGAGAAAATCATCACTAGAATTAAGAAGAACCATCTTTATCAGAGGAGACAAAAGAGCATCCATTGCAGTCTAGACCAAAAGAGGTAAATGGACCCTAACCAATATTCAGAGCTTAATTTTGCATTAATCCTTGTTTTAATTGGATCACTCAGACATTTTCTAACAGCTCAAGAACAGTGGCAACAATACAATTCTCTAAGATGAAATATAATATTGTTCTGAATCTTCTAGAATTTTAATAGACAAGTTTGAACTCATGGACTCCCATGGAAATATGCACACAAAGCAACAGATAATAAAAGCCACATATTGGAACTTGTACTAAACTTGTATAAATGAACCAGGAATTAAATTAAAATTCTAGTTTGCTTTTAAAAAGGCAAATGAATGAAACAGTAGATTATTTAACAAATTTAGCTTCAGTGAAGCAATATAATATAACTAATACTAAATATACTAAACCTGCTGAAGAAACATGATTTATAGTCCAATTTTAAAACGAAGAAAACTTGAATTCTTGTCTTGTTTTTTTGTAACACACAATACAAAATAATACTGAAAGTATTATTGGCACATTGTCGATGAAAAATAAACGTCAATGGGAAGCTGAAAGAAGCTAGCAGACCTATGAATTTCTCTCAGAAGTCACAAGTGATTTGAATAAGAACCTGAGGATGAGGGAAAGCAAGATTTTGTCATATCTATGCACCTGTACAAATTTTCAAGGTGCAGTGATAGCAAGGAGCAGAACTGGCAGAATTTGTGAGTCAGAGGACTCTTAGGTTCAGCAAATATAAAATCAGAGTGGAAGCTCCTTCCTTCTTACCAATTCTCCAACTGATAAAGAAGGTTCTTCTTAATTCTAGTGATGATTTTCTCATCACCTTGATAGGAACACTGTTTTTATTATTTTTTAATCTCATTTGAAAGGATTCTGCTTTGTCTCTTAGGAAATGGCCCCCTGTAACTTCCAAGAATGATGGAACATAATTTAGACTTTTCTATGTCTCAGGTGTTGATCTATCCTCTTATAACAGGTCTAATTTATTTTATGTAAATTGAACTTTATAGAACAATTAACTATTGATATTCAAGCAAAAACATCTTTGCAAGAGTGAGTATCCTGTTTCCACCAATACTTCATCATAAGCTAAAAACTGAGGAAGCAAATACAGAGTACAGCTCATTGAGCCCTCTGTTCTGTCCATGCACTTTTTTAAAGATATTTTTTAGATTGTCGATGGACTTTCATTTTATTAATTTATTTATATGTGATGCTGAGAATCGAACCCAGTGCATCAAACATGCTAAGCAAGCTCTCTACCACTGAGCCACAACTCCAGCCCTATCCATGCACTTTTTAAAAAACATGCCAATCCTGTACCTCCATGGTATATCAAAGAATGAATGTGACACTTATTAAAAACACTAAGAGTTGAGGTTGGAGCACCAAATTTTACTTTTCAGTGCTTTACTCTTATATCTGTTATCATCATTTGAGATGAAAAAAGGAAACCATGGAGCAAATGTGGTTTATAACTGGAAAATTAACATGTGTTTTCTAGAAAGCTTGAAATATAAATTAAGGATAATTTCAAAGAAGAAGAGAAAAGAAGGAGAAGAGAGGAATAAAAGGAAGGAAGGAAGGAAGGTAGGCATGGAGAAAGGAAGGAAGGAAAACCTCATCTTCTATTCAAGAATGGAAACAAAACAAAAATCAAATTGAAATATCTGTTTTCATAACTTACATGGTCCTCTATAATCATATCACATGTATTCAATTAACTATATATAGAACAACATTTGGAATTCAAAATAGAACAGGAATTTCATCTTAAAAAGTCCATGAATAGATCATGGAATCCTGACATAGGAACAAAATTATTTCAGTTATGAGGCTTGTTTTGCAATAAATCAAGATACCCATGACATTGTCTGAGGCACATGAATGAGATAATGTGACCATGCACTGTCTGTGGTTTTCCCCACCAGCACCCATGGCATATAAAAGGCAGGTGGCAGACAGTGATATCCAGACTCAAGACACCTACATCCTGATCCTGAACTGAACACTCCACTCCTGACAGCATGAGCTGCTACTATGGCAACTACTATGGTGGGCTGGGCTATGGCTATGGTGGCCTAGGCTGTGGCTATGGCTGTGGCTATGGTGGCTGTGGCTATGGTGGCCTAGGCTATGGCTATGGTGGCTATGGTGGCTATGGTTATGCATGCTGCCGCCCACTCTGCTACAGAAGATACTATTCCTATGGCTTCTACTGAGGCATTTCCTCAGCTGCTGAGCCTATTGGCTGTCACATCCGTTCATACAAGAATCATCTCCAACTTTCTTCATGTGAAAAATGTTAAATGCTTTCAACATACCTACTATACACCAAAGCGTCTGAGAAAAATGAATGAAATGAAATCAACTACCTGATTCATCCTTATCTCTTGATTTGTGTGATTGGAGAAATGTTTATTCTTGATAATTACACAGTGTGTGTAATGTGATGAAATTTTTCAACTTCTATGTTAAATGTCCTTATATTAAATAAAGTGTTGCATTGGAAATATTACATTGATACAATTGTTTTTATTTGTCTCCTCAGTGAAACATATCTATTTGTGCATTTGGATGTGATTAATCAGGTGCAGGGGTTTAATGGAAATATGAGAGAGAAAAAAAATATGACATATCTTTTCTGTGGTCAGTAGGGATCCAAAAATTAATATTGCATGGTTATTACTTCTAAAAGATCATACACAATCTGTTTTTATATATATGTCTCTTCATATCTTCTAAAATCATCCTTTGTAAGTTTTTTAGATGGTTTTTTATATACAATAATGTGAGTATATGAGATCATTTTTAAAATCTTTCTTTTAAAGTTTTGTGTTGTTTATCTTGCCAGTGGTTACATTATATCATCTATAGCTCTGCCTCTGTGAAAGTGTCTCAAAGTAATTGTTTGCACTTTTTACAGTGGTGAATAAAGTGTATATCTATATCTATCTATCTATCTATCTATATGTAGGTCTATATATAGATATAGATATGCATAGATATATGTATGTACACATGTATGTATACCCATCTATATGTATCTATATCTATAGCGATATCTATATATGTATCTGTATTTTTATCTTCTCCCTCAAAATGACTCAGACTTCATGCTATTGAAAATGTGTGCATTGAAATCACATTATTGATTGTCATCATGGCAACTAAACAGTATTTCAAAATATATGAATTTATTTTCTATTTTAAAAAATTGGTTTTATTCATAGAAAGATAAACTAATCAAAACCATGAGTCACATTTTAAGTATCAAATTAGCAGGAGGTTATTTTCTTTTTCATCCCAAACTCTAGTCCTCATTAAATGTACAAGCCTACATAGGCTAATTTTCCCTGTATTCAAATTCTTTGCACTCTTAAATTGGTTATGTTTCACTTGGAAAACAAACTGACAGCAGTAAGTGCAAGGAAATGCTAGTGGGGAAAATAAAGAATAAGGAGAAAACATTCTAAAGAAGGAGAAAATGGGTGAAGGGGTGAAATTGACCATTCTAGGAATCAGGCAGGACAGTGCTGTGACACAGAGTAACCAGAAGAGTTTTGAGTCCACTTTTAATTTTTCAGGAGTGGCAAACCATAGTTGGAGATATASGAAGACACAATCTGACAAGAATGTGCTTGGAGAGTACTGACTTTAACAGAGCCAGGTTTCTCCTGGAGATATTTTAGAAATTGAAAGTCACAGGGGTCCATTTCCTAAGACACAAACAGAATCATTTCAAATGAGGTAAAAAATATAATACAACTGTGCTCATGTCTAGGTGATGAGAAAATCATCACAATTAAGAACCATCCTTAACAGAAAAGACAAATGAGCATCTACTACAGACTAGACCAAGAGAGGTAAATGGACTTAACCAAAATTCAGAGCCTATTTTTTCATTAATTCTCMTTTGAATTGGGTCAGTCAGACATTTTCTAATAGTCCACTAGCAGCACCAACAGCACTAGTCTCTACAGTGAAACATAATATTGTTCTGAACCTTCTAGGATTTGAATAGACAAGGTTGAACTTATGGACTCCCTTGGAAATATGCAAAACAGGCAAAAGATAACATCATCCACATATCAGAATTTGTAATTGAATTGGGGAAATGAATCTAGAATCAAATTAATATACAAGTTTACTTTTTAAAAATGCAAATGAATGACATGGTAAATTATTTAACAAATTCAGCTTCACAGAGGTAATGTAATTTCCCTAATACTAAATGTATTAAATATGCTCAAAAAACACATTTATTGTTTAATTTCAAAAGAAAGAAAACCTGCTTTTCTTTTCTTTTACAACATACAATACAATGACTTAAAAGTTATTGGCACATGTTCTATTACAAATGAATGTCAATTGGCAGCTGGAAGAGGCTGGCAGAACTGTGTGAAACTCCCTCAGAAGTCTCAACTGAATGAGAAGTATGTGGAAAGGCAGGTTTTTGTTATGACTAGGCATCTATGATTACTTTCAGTGTTTGGTGACATCAATGAGTAGAACTGACAGGACTTGAGACATCAGAGGACATTTGGGTTCAACAACTGTAAAACAGGAGAAGACATTCCTCCTTCCTGACCAACTCTTCCAATGTCTACATTTCGAGGGGTGGAACATAATTTAGATCTATTTTGGACTCTAACTCATAGATTTGTCCTGTTATAGTAGGTATAATTCATTATATGAAAATTATTTTTAATAAATTTTATTGAATATTTCTATCAAAAAAATCTTTGTATGATTGAATAACCTGTTTCTACCAATACTCATCATCAGGAAAAACTGAGGAAACAAAGAAGGATTGCATGGATTATTTGGGCCCTCTGATCTATCCATACACATTTTAAGTGCCATGTCATTCTTTCATCTCCAAGATACTTGTAAGAGAAAATGTGACAGCAATTAAAAAATTAAAGCCTTGGGGGCTGGGGATGTGGCTCAAGTAGTCGTGTGCTCGCCTGGCATGCGTGTGGCCCGGGGTTCAATCCTCAGCACCACATACAAACAAAGATGTTGTGTTCACCGAAAACTAAAAAATAAATATTAAAAAAAAATTCTCTCTCTCTCTCTTTCTCTCTTAAATAAAAAAAAAAAGCCTTACACATTGGCACAGGTCTGCAATCCCTGGGGCTCAGCTGTCTTTGGTAGGGGGGATCCCAAGTTCAAAGGCAGTTGCAGCATCTTAGAGAGGCTCTAAGCAACATGGAAGGACCCTGTCACAAAGTAAAAAATAAAAATAGCTAGTGATTTGGCTCTGTGGCTAAGCACTCCTCATTTCTTTACTCAGTACCCCATCCCAAATAAGATTCAAAGATTGGGGACCCAACTTTACCTTGGGGTGATCTACACTTGCAGCTATAAACTTTATTTGGGATAAGGAATTGGAAAATTGAACAAATATAATTTCCAACTGCCAAATGGTCATTTATTTTCTGGAATGTTTGAAATGCATGTCAAGATTAATTTCACGAGAAGAGAAGAATAGGAAAGAAAGAAATGGAGAGAGAACGAAAAAAGGAAGGAAGGGAAAAAAGCTTTCCTTCTTTTGAAACATGGCAACAACACAAAAAAAAACCCTGAAATACTTATTTTTATGATTTACATCATGCAATCAAATCATACATATTCTATTAATTAAATATAAAAGAGACACTGCATTCAAAATACAACAAGAATTTTATTTAAATAAATAAATGAATCATGGATACCTCACATAAGAGCAAAATTATCTCAGTTATGAGGCTTGTTTTTGCAATAAGTAAAGATACACATGACGTTGTCTGAAGCACAATAGTGAGATAATATGACTATGCCCTGCCTGTGGTTTTCCCCAGCTAGCACCCATGGTATATAAATGGCAGGTGGTATATAAATGACAGTGACATCTAGACTCAAGACACCTATATCCTTATCCTGTACTGAACACTCCACTCCTGACAGCATGAGCTGCTACTATGGCAACTACTATGGTGGGCTGGGCTATGGCTATGGTGGCCCAGGCTGTGGCTATGGTGGCTATGGCTGTGGCTATGGCTGTGGCTACGGCTGTGGCTATGGTGGCTATGGTTATGGATGCTGCCACCCACTCTGCTACAGAAGATGCTGGTCCTATGGCTTCTACTGAGATATTTCCTCAGCTACTGAGCCAATTGGCTCTAACCTCCTGTTTCACTAGAATCAATTCCACGTTTCTTCATATGAGGAATGTTTGAATGTGTTCAACAATACCAACTCTATGCCAAACTATCTGAGATAATTGAATGAAATCAGCATGACTGTTTTAATTCATCATTACCTCTTAGATTGAAGATAGTTTGGAGAAATATTTTTCCTTTAATAATATCATTAAAACACTTTGTAAATGTGATCAAATTGGACTCTTGATTTTTGTGTAAAAAAACATTTTATGAAATAAACTGTATTTCACTGCAAATATGGGTGTGTTACAATTCTCTTAAATTGTCTCCATTGGTGTAATATGTGTATTTCTGTAATTGCATGTGTTCAATAGGAGTATAAAATTTAATGATGTAAAAATATTAATTCTTTTTAGAGATCAGACAACATCTGTTTTTATATATCTTGTCATGTCTCCTAAAATTATCCTTTGTACTTTTTTGAAATTGGTATCTTCTACAAATTTTTTTTTATTTCACACCAACCTATTTTAACCATATCTGGATTTATATGCTTTATGTTTTTAGTACCATCAGTGATCAGATTAGATCATCTATAGCTCTGCCTCTGTGAAAAGAATCTCAAAATATCTATATGTGTGTGTGTAGTGTACAGCAACATATCTCCTCTCTAAATAATGACTACAGGCTTATTCATATTGATAATGTCTGCAGTAATAATTGTGTTCTGAATTACCATGAGTGCAACCAAATAGCATTTGAACATATATCAATTTACTCTTGTCTTTAAAAGCTACATGCATTAGGCATAGAAAGGTACATTTAATAAAAATATAAGCCATTTTCTCAGTATCTAAATAGCATTAAGTTGTTTTCCTTTTCACCCCACAGTCTGGTCTTTATTCAGTGTATGCTACACTGAATACATATGCTAATTTTCTCCAGAATCAAATTCTTTCCACTCTTATTAAAGTGGTTACTTTTAATTTGAGAAACTCAAACTGACAACATTAAATGCAATGAAGTGCTGATGGGAAAATTAAGGAATATGGAAACCAATATTTTGAAGATGAAAAATATTTTTAAAAGTTGGGTAAAATTCTACCATTCTCCATTCTTGGAGCCAGGCAAGAGGCTTCTCTGACACAGCATAATCAACAGAAATCTGAGTCCATTTTCAACTTTTTAGGGCTGGCAATCATAGTTGGAGATGAAAAAAGACACAATTTGACAAGCATGTGCTAGGAGAATGCTGACTTCAAAAGATCCAGCTTTCTCCTTGAGATATTTGGAAATTTTGAAGTCTTGGGGGTCCATTTCCTAAGACATGAAGCAGAATCACTTCAAAAGGAAACTTAAAAAAAAATAGTGTTCATATCAAGGTGATGAGAAAACCATTGCTGGAATTAAGGGGAAAAAAATCCTTAAAAGAAAGAGAAAAAAGAGCAATTCCTCTTTCCTACAGGGAAAAGAGGTAAACAGACCCAAACCAAAATTTAGAGCATAATTGTGTGTTAGGTCTTGTTTGAATGAGATCAACCATATATTTTCTAACAGTCCAAGAGCAACAACAACAAAACTCTCTAAGGTGAAATAAATATTGTTCTGGACCTTCTAAAATTTTAATACAAAAGGTTGAGCTATGGACTCCTGTGGAGATATGCAAAAGAGGCAACAGGTAACAAAAGCAAGCATATTAGAGCCACATATTGGAGCTTGTACTAAAATTGGAGGAATGAACCAAACAAATTTAAATACTAGTTCTTTTCAATAAGCAAATAAATAATGTTAAAGAATTAAATACATTTACCTTCAGAAACAAATATATGTATAATACTAAATTTAGTATATCTGACCAGAAATATGATTTATTGTCCAATTTCAAAAGGAAGAGACTTTGTTTTCTTTTGCAACACTTGCATTTTCTCCATGGTCCTCTTGCCACTTGTAACATGACATGATATGGACAAAAACCCCTAGTAATCAGAAAAAAACACAGAGACGATCATAAATGTCCCACAATACAATGATTATTAAATTACTGACACAAAGTTTATGACAAATGTCAATTGGTAAGGGAAAGAGGCTGGCAGACCCATGTGAATCTCTATCAGAAATATCAAATCATCTGTATAAGGACCTTGGGCAAAAGCAGGTTTTTATCATGTCTATGTACCTGTGAATATTTTCAGTGTTTAGTGACAGTAAGTAGCAGAACTGGCAGGATTTGTGAGTCAGAGGATGTTTTACAGTAACTAAAATCAGAGTGAAGCTTTGGTCTTCCTTACCAGTTCCTCTAATGCCTAATTTTAGAGTGGTGGAACATAGTTTATATTGTCTCTGACAGTCTAAGGTGTTGAGCTATTCTCTTAAAATAGTTCTAATGTCTTTTAGTTAAATAGAATTTCATTGAACATTAATATCAAACAAAAAAAAAACACCTTTCCATGATTTTTGAGTCTCCTTGTTTACACTCATACTTCATCAGCAGCTAAAATTTGAGGAAGCAAAGAAAAAGCACATGCCTCATTTTGTCCATCTGACCTATCCATACAGTTTTGAGACATGGCCTTTCTGTAACTGCATGGCACTTATAAAATGAAGTACCTGGGTTTTTTTTGTTTGTTTGTTTGTTTTTTTTT